GAGGGATGCCTTGGAGGGGGACAGGGCTGCCGGTGATGGCTCCGCCACCAGTACTGCTACAAGCCAGCTGATTTCAAAATGCAGGAAGGTGATGGGCTACTTCCACTGCAGCATCAAGGGGGGCAAGATGCTGTGGGAGAAACAGGCAGAGCTCAGCATCCCGCAGCACAGAATCATACAAGATGTGGAGACTCGGTGGAACTCCAGATACCTGATGCTCGAAAGGTTGGTGGAGCAACCGAAGGCCATCCATGAGATGGCCTTGCTTGGGGAAATTGGGATCAGCGCCCCCCTGAACAGAGCTGAGTGGGGTACCATCTCCCCGATCTTGGTGGTCCTCAAGCCCTTCCACCGAGACCCTTAGCGCTGGCGATGCCCTCCTCAGCCAGGTGATCTCCCTAGTGAGGGAACTGGAGAAGCAAATGGAGAAGTTGCAGGGGATCAGTGTTCCTGGCTGGGGCAGTCCACTGTCACCAGACGTGCAGGCACTGGTGAGGCGGCTGAAGGAGGGCATCAGAAGATGGCTGGATCCCTTGCTGTCCAGTACAGTCCACATGACAGCGGGCATGCACAACCTGAGGGTGAAGGGGAGCACGTGCACTGGCAGCCCCCAAACCCTCGATCACTGGACACAGGTGCTGGTGAGCAAAGTCAGGGAGGCCAAAGTGCAGAGGCGAGGGGATGTGGAAGAGGGGGATCCACTTTCCCATGCCAGCACTCCCAGCACCAGTGCCAACACCAGCACCAGCCAGTCTCCTCCACACCAGCCACTGCCAATGTGGGCCATGGACATGGCTTCAATGCTGGGGTCCAAACACATCAGACCCCAGGCTCGGGCAGGTAGCGCCGAGGCTTCGGTGGCTACCTATCTCGCTAAGGACGTGGAGCCACTAGACTGTGGCCTACTGGGCAAACCACAAGCAGATGTGGCAGGATCTGGCCCCGGTTGCCCAGCAACACCTGTCCTGTCCACTGACCAGTGTTCCAAGTGAGGGGGTGTCCAGCATTGCTGTGGATGTTGTGACACCCTAACACACCTGCTTGGATCCTACGTTGGTGGAGCAGCTGGTGTTCCTAAAGGTGAACATCCCACTGCTGGGGTTCCCCTAAATCCACCTCCAGATGGACTGAGTGCCACCTTCCTCACTCCGCCTGCACCAGTTTCCTTTTTGGAGGTTTTGAAAAGCCAGGTAATGCCCCACTCTCAGCTGGAGGGGGCACTAACTGCATCACCAGCCAGCAGGGGAAGAACATGTCCCTGCTGAGCTCATTCCTCTGCCAGGATGAACTAGGAGGTATGGGATTGGGGCTATGGGGAAGGAGGAGGCCCCAGGTCCTGGCCATGACCATTAAAACTGCACCTGCCAGGGTAGGGAGGCCTGGTGGGACTGCTGGTGGTGCCGCAGCCCTGTAAATGCCAGGACCAACGATCCCCTGCTGAGGAGGCACCATAATCTCCAGCTAATGCACGCATGCACAAAGTCCTGGATGGGAAACACCCAGACCTGTCACGTCTTTGACAGGCCTGATGCTTGCTGGTTGCCGTGCAGTTGTGAGGCTCCCGGTGAACACAGCTTAGCTGCCTGGGATGCCAACTTTAGGGTTGAAAACCCCTTTGTCAGGCTGAGGAAGTACCTGAAAAGTGGTTTGCATTGTAATTTGTTCCCTCTCAGGATCAGGCCTAAGAGACTGGAGGCAGAGTGTTTTTTTCATGAGGAATGTGCCCTCACAGGTAGTTGGGTTTTGATGTCTTTGATAGATTCTGGTGTGCAGTTTGTGGGGGTACTGGAGATAGTTTTGTGTTTTGAACTGTGGGAAGTTGGCTTCAGTTCTGCTGATGAGGTTAGGTGCTTGTTTGAACGTACAACCAATATTCAGAGCTGGGCCTATGAACTGCACTTCATCAGCCTACTAGGTAGTAGGTACAGAGACTCATGGACTCAGTATACACAGTGGAGTTCTGGCACACTGCGACCTGCCAGGCATCTGACTCCCCGGGCACCTGTGCACTCTTACCTGCGCTGCTACATCCCCCTTTCCCCCCTACCCCTGACCCCAGCCTGTCCCTTTCCCCCTGACACCTTCATTTCCATTTTCACTGATTGGCTTTCTTGCCTGCATTGTGGGCCAGGCCAGCCTCTGGCTCCTTTACTATTCCTTCCATCCAGGACCAACTGCAGGTACTTCCTCAGCCTGACAAAGGGGTTTTCAACCCTAAAACTTCCAAAGATGCACTTTTTTAAAGTACTCCTTTTTTTTTCATAATACACATATAGACATAAAAACACAAAATAAGTGATCACATACCATGAATAACATCATATGTCCAACACAACACAACACAACACAACATCTTTACTTCTTGCTGTCAATTCCTTTATAAAATGACAGGCTCTGTGACAGGTCCGTTTGGGTACCTTTGCTGCTGCTGCTGCTGCTACTGGTGTTGAGCCAGCTAAGTTATTTTACCTGTTGTCATGTAAAGTGGAGCATCAGGCGTGAGGCTGTAGGGGAGGAGGAGGCCTCACTGGGGCACACTGCTGTGTTGTGCAGAGGCCCCAGTGTACCCTAACACACACACCTTAACACACACATGGGCACACCTTAACACACACACAATGTCACCCACCCACATCATGAGATTTGCCTGTCAGCAGCTTGGGGTGCAGGGCCCCGAATGACAGACTCCCCCAGCGAGACACACACAGCTGGGAGGCTTCATGGCCTGGCAGGGCCCAGCACCCAGGCCTGCACTAGATTTCACCCCCCTGTGCCCCAAGACAGACGCAGTTGCCCAAGCAGCCACATCACAAGTTTTGTCTGCCAGCAGCTTGGGGTGCAGTTCCCCCCAAACCCTGCACCAATCTTCTTGAAACTTAGCAGATTTTGTGGCCTGAGCAGGGGCCACCACCCCTGCAGTTTTCAGCCAGCTGTGCCTTAACACACACACGGTCATTTGTGTCAGGGTCATTTGCGCCTTAACACACATGAGAGGTAGCAAGTCAATGTGGATGTATATATGTTAGGTATATGTAAGGGGAGTAGAGTGCTTCTGCTTCTGACTGATACTTGAGTGGTTTGTCTTTGTTCTAAAGTTCTTCGCCCCCTTACAAAGCTTGTCCTCCCGATGAAATCTCATTGCATTGAGCTGACTTAAATTAATAATGTGTGCCTATGCATTTGTGTAAGTGAAAGAGGGTAATTTCTGCACATCTGTCACAGTGGATGGGGTGGGCTTGTGTGTAAGAAATAGACAGTGGTGTTGATATATGTAGGACAGAAATGGCTTGGGTAGGGTATCTGTTGAGATATGCAAATGTGGGTAGCACTGGGGTGGGGGTGTGCCTTATCCTCCTTTCATATGACTCATCTGCAACCCCAGACACCAAACACCTCAAAGGTCAGTTGTGGCTTTAACATTCACCACTGCAGGCCCTTGACTGTTTCCACAGCTTGCTATACTGAGGTTTTTTCTCCTGTGTACTGATGCACTGTGGTGGGTTTTGTATTGAATCCATGACATCTGGTATTTTTTAAATTAGTCATAGTCTTGCAGGTTCCACAGTTTCTTCAAAGACCTCATCTTCAGTATCACTGTCATAAGCAGGGGGTGGTGTAAGTGGCTCCAAGGGTTCCACACTGTCTTCAGCACCTTTGACTTCATGGATATCTGAAGAAAACCGCTGCAGCCTTGGGGGCAATACCAACCGAAGGCGCAGCCTGGATCCTGCATCTGCCTCAGAGAAATGCCTAGTGCCTGATGCCACTGAGACACTGAAGGTCTCCACCACAGCCTCAGCCAGGGCAGGTGACTCTATAACCACACTGTACGGCGGGGGATCACCCACTGGTGAAGACACTGTGCCTGCATTGGAAGTGATTGTCCAAATTGTTGGGTTTGGCATACTCATCACTTCCTCATATGTGGGAGCTTCATAAGCATTATTCACCCTGCACACAAAAAACAAAGACCTATATTAAAGAAGTCCTGACAAAGTTTGTGCTACACAGAGACAGACAAATCCATTCAGTCTGGTGCCCAGCCTATGTCCTCAATCTGTTAGCATGAAAAATTGATCAATAGGGCTTTTTCATCAGGGAAAACCAAGACACGCTTTGTTAGCTTGAACCAGCTACTTTTTGAAGAAAAAGAGTGAAAGAAAAATAAATACTGTATTTTACTTTAAACTAACAAATCAAATGATACGAGCGAGAGTACTGTCAGCCCTTGTTACTTTATATTATGTAATCACACTGGGCATGTCTACACATGCGCTCAACTGTGCAGTAACAGTAGTTACTGCAGAGTCCCAGAGGCACACAGGTTATTTCTGACCCTACTGCACAGTAGTGTCAGTGTCACAGTTTGTACCTGCTGATCCTACGTCCCCATAATAATGAGATATGCCACTGTAGCTCATTGCTATAGTGATGTAGCATCTTGTATAGATGCACCCATTGTAGATCAGTGATGCCTAACCTACCTGGCCCTGCAGGCCAGATGAGTACTGCAGGGATGGTCTGTGGGTTGGGTCCTGAGTGCAGAGTTGATCCATGGGCCTGATCCAGCATGGGATCAATATGTGCATGATTGGTCCCATAGGTGATCTGGGCTGACAGCTTGGTCCCATGTGCCAGATTCAGCTACCGCACAACCCTATACACTGGCCTGACCCTGCACACTGGATTCAGCTATGTTGCAACCACACATGCCAGTTAGATCCTGCATGCAGAGTCAATCCATAGGCCTGATCCAGTGTGGGGTCAGCATGTGCATGATTAGTCCACTGTGTGATCTGGGGTGCCAGCCGAGTCCCATGCACCGGTTTCAGCTACAGTGCAGCCCTATATACTGGCCTGACCCTGCACACTGGATCCACCTATGTTGTGACCACACATGCCAGTGCAACCCAGGGTGTGGGGTCATATCATCCCACCATCAAGGCTCTCCCACAGGTTGATAAATTTGGCAGCAGAGAAGCAGTGGCAGTGTTAATTATTACTATTCCCTTTCTACCAAATTTCCAGATCCAGGGAGGGGTCTTGTGACTGGATGCAGCTCACACACACACACACACACACCAGATGCAGTTCATGATCTGTAGGCACCACTGCCTACTTTCTTTCTATTAGCTTCTTTAAAAAAAATTGAGTAGCTGTTTGACTCCAGGCTATCTGTTGGCAGTGAATTCCCAAGCTCCCAAATTTGAGATTAGGTACCAGCAATATAAGAGTGTGATAGATAAATATTTCTTGTTTTATAATAGTTTCCAAAACTATCCTTACAATTCATGTTTCCATTTATTATTAGTAAGGCAATACAATCTTTTATGTAACACTTTTCATCTGGGGATGTTAGAGGATTTTAAGTGACTATTATCTTGCTTTTACACAGGGGTGGGTAAAAATAGGGTCAGGCCATATCTGGCCCCATCAAGGCATTTTGTACAGCCTGCTGCAGGTCCCTTGGCCCCACCTAGACCAGGTGCTGGGGCAACCCAGGACATGGCACATGTGGCCAGTCCCACAACCCCTGGATCTACAGCAGGGTTGAGGTAGCACAGTGGCCAAACTCTGTTTCCCAGCAGCTCAAACCATGGCTCCTTCTGGCTGCTGCTGCCAGACCTACCATGCTACCTGAGCACCATGGCCTGTCTACCCACCACCGCCAGCAAGACCCGCAAGGGCAGAGTACACAGCCAGGTAGGTGGGATGCAGTCGCAGGTGGGTGGAGAGCCACATCAGGGAGTGGGATGGGTGAGCAGGACCAGGGATCGGGATCAGGATTGCAGGGCCATGACAGTGCAGAGCCGGGGCTAGGGCCAGGCCTGGGGCAGAGCCATGATCGGCTGCCTGCACACCCGTGCGTCAGGGCAATGGTTCTGTGAACAAGGGTGTGCAAGCAGCACATTGCGGCTCTGCCCTGGGCCCTGGCTCAACACTGTCACCACCCTAAGATCCCAGGGTCTCCATGAAGACCAGCCGGGACCCACACAAGCAGGGCACATGCCAGGCAGACAAGGCAGGGAGCTGTGTCAGGGGCCAGGTCTGGGATCTTGGGGCGGTGGGGCCAGGGTCTGGGGCAAAGCCACAATCCACTCCCCAGAAGCCCCTCCCTGTGGAACCAGTGCCTGTTGCAGGAGCTTGCAGGCAGGGGATCATGGCTCTGTTCTGGCCCTGGCCCCACAGTGTCACTACCCCAAGATCCCAATCCCCAGCCCAGGCTCCATCCACCCATCCAGCTCCTGGATGCTGCTCCTCATCCACCTACAGCCCATCCCAGCTGCCTGGCTGTGCGCAGGGGCCACTTACAGAGTTCTGGTGATCTGTTGCATGAGGAAGCATGCTGACCTGGCCCACAACAGGTCACCAAAACTCCGCATGTGGCTCATGGGCCCAAATAATTGCCCACCCCTGATTTTACAGAACAAGAAATTGAGGCAGAAAAAAGCTTATGACCAAACTATTCAAATGAGGTTGCTATTTTTAAAAGCAATAAGACCTAATTTATATAGGTGCTAAAAAATCTAGTTGATATGAACAGAATTTTTGAGGCCTGATGTCCTTCAAAGTCAGGCATTAGATGCATCAAATTTGATATTACAAATAGAAGCACTCGAAGTTACAGGCCCCTTAAATTTTGCCCGGGAACTACTGCTGTTCAGACAAAGTTTGGAGGACTGAACTGCAGAAGTCCAGCTGGGAGTCATCAAAGTATTTCCGCAGTTCTTTCTTTGTTTTTTTATCTGGCCTTTGTAACAAACAGTTGTTATGTTACAGCTCATAAACAAAACTATTAATGACCCAGAAGGGTTCAGAAAAGATTAGAGTACGACATGATGACTTAAAGGCAGAGAAGAGATAGCTGGATCTATGTATCCTTTTTAAGTGCGCCCAGGAGGAAGAGAATACGTGCTGATTGAGATATCTGAGATTTGTGAAATGGACTTTGATAACCTCCACCTGGGAATACACACACCTGGACTGATATGCTGTTTTCTGGAATGAACTTTGACTTCTGTCTCTTGGGAGGAGAGCAACAGAAGATTATGGAAAGGTATATAATGAAATGGTTATACCCTGGGGTACAAAGAGTAAAAAGAAAAAAAAAAAGAAGTAATAGATGTAATTGCTCACCCTGCCTGGCTCTGCATCCTTGGAGCTGCCAGATTTGCATTCTGTGTCTGCTGATGTTTCACGTAACACTCTGCAAATACACTCAGCAAGTAGCCAATGAGGCAAAAGCCTCCCACCCCCAGGAAGAAGTATCCTACTGGGTTGATGTTAGAGGAAACAGCCAACATTGTGACCCCAATGAGAAGTGCAGCAGTGAAGAGAAGTAACAGAGTCTGGCGGATGTTCCTCCAATGTGACTCTAGCCACATGGTGTTATGGATGGCAATGGCAGACAGAGGGGGAAAGGCTGGATAGCTGGAGGAACAGACGTCTGTGGGAGACAGAGAGGGTTTTGAACATGCAAGTGAGACCACAAATATGTCAACATATCAACATGATATCACATACACATGCAACTACATGCCATCACAAGAACATTCACATTACACAACACTCAGAAACAAAATGCAAACCAACAAAAATACACATCCATAAAGCTATCCTAAGCCAATACACACCAAATACAGGAAACAAATATCTAGATACATCCCAAGAGCAAGACATACACATGGAAATACTGTACACAGGCACAAATATAGGGAGATGCCAAAATTAATGTGGACAAAGGTGCACAAAAAGGCATGCAGAAATCTTCTGTATGCATATGGGTATAATATATGGATATGTAAATGCAAGGTAGCAAGAGAATGTAAATATGACATACATGATGAGCAGGTTAGAGTCCTGGCAAACTGGACTGTGGGTTGCCTGAATATGTTTTTATTGTCAAGATGATATACAAAATGCAGGCCACATATCAAAACTGTGATTCCTTCATTCCCAGCAGATAAACAAAATACACCATCAAAGATTTTTTAGATGTTTGTGCCCACGTCTTCAGCTTCTTCTGGTTGTCAGGCTTCTTCCCACCATCCTGTTCTCAGGCGCCCTCGTTCCCCATCACTGATGGAGTCTCCCCATCATCTCCTTGGCAGGAAATGGTGTCTATAACTAACTTGTACAAAACAAATGCCAATAGTCTCTGGTATTCAAGTATGTACCAGGGAAGAAGAGTCACTTTATATTCTTGTATACTTTATCCTTGTATTTTTTATAATTTTCTACATACAAATACCACCATTGTTGGGAAACATTAAGAGTATAGAATTCCTACCATGGGACACACGTACTCAGGACTACCAGCTTTGATTGTACCGTACCTGTATAACACAGTCAGTTATTAGAACAAGGGCACTTTCTGTGAGTACCTGGTCTCAGATAATCCCAGAAAAATCAACAACCAAGGGAGCTCTCTCCTTGCTGGACACTGTTATTGAACACTGTTCCTAGAAGCCTGTCACAAATAGGTCCCAGAACATGCTCCTTACATGACATTAATACAGTTCTGCTTCCCCAGGATTTTCCTGTGAAGATGTACTAATCTAAAATAATCCTTCTCTTCATTTAAGCATTGCTCAGAATGAAGCAGCAAATACCCGTTAATTCCAGGGATTAGGCCTATTTCTCATGTATTGTTGGTACAGAACCTAGAAGTGAATTCTTCATGTCTAGCAAATCCCAAAGCCGGAGAAAGAGAGAGAAAGAAAAAGACAGAAGGAATGACATGGAGTGGAAAAGAAAAGTAGTAGGCATACCTCAGTGCTCACTCTGCCTTGACTTACCATCGGATAGCTTTAGATCTTTTTTTTTATATATAACAACACATTTTTTCTGTTCTTGTTTTTTCTTGAACTCACATAAATTTATGGAAGTAGATCATTCTGATGTGTGCATGCACATGTGCACACATGCACACACACAAACTTGTATACTTGCAAACCTTTACTGACCCATGCAAACAGTCACGCCAACACATTTGTACATCTAGGGTGGAAATCTATTATTTCTTGGTTGTCTAAGTGTCCAGATTTAGTCATCTACATGATTGTCTAAGCTGCCAAAATGCCACTTATGCACAGGTTGAAATTCTATTCCCACCTGTGTAGCCATACATGGACAGTAATGTATGCACACAGACTGGGCATATGCATGAGCAACAAAATGAGAATGAGAGACCTCCTGTCTTTCCCCCTCAATAGCTCACTGGCCAGGGCACTCACTTGAAAAACTGAAGGCTCTGGATTCTGGCCCCCTTCACCCAGAGGAGTTTTGATCCTGCATTTCTGATATCTCTTAACTACCACACCATAGGTCAGCTATTGCTCAGCCCTTTCTTCAGTGCTCTTTTGAAGCTGGCCCAGTGAGGAGCCACAAGAGGGATATATGTGAAAGATATGTGAGGCCAGGAAGGATACAAGCCAGAAGGTATGTGGCTCACAATATACTGGCTGCCGGCTTGGAAGAGAGGGGGACCTGATTTCTATCTGATACTCTTGCTCACAGTGAGGCAGAAGCTTCCTTATGGCTGTGTCTTCTAGCCATTTTTAAATGACTTTGCAAGTGACTAAGCTGCAGAAGAAGCACCAGAGAAGTCACTGGATAATGGCTAACCTGTGACATGATGGTTAGAGTGCTGTGCTGGGAAATAAGAAAACTAAGTTCAAACTCCTTTTTGTGGCGGAAGAACCTAGAATCCAGCACCTCTGGCTTCCCAGGTCAAGGGCCTAGTCATGGGGGTAGGGGGAGGAGGAAGACAGACAAATCCACACCACCCTTTTCCATTCCATTCTAGTCCAGCAGTCATGATCATAGCTAATGCCATTTTTGTGTATCTATAACTTCCACATGTCCACAAGGAGCCACATACATGCCTTGGCTGCTACTATGTCTTCCCAGTCTGTGTAGCTACGTAGACACACATAGTCATCTATTCACATGGGACTATGCACCTAGGAATTAGACAACAAATGTATTCATTATCACAACCAGGAAGGGTATAAAACACCACCCCTGCTCTTACATACAGATTTCCATTTGTACATACACATATGGAAACATGCACTCACAGTCACACAGGGAAGCACACACTTTCGTACAAGTACTGCATGGTAACATGTAGGCATGCAAATGCACACAAACTCATTCTGGTGTTTGCTCATTTAAGCATTTTCAAACCAACTCAGACACTTATAATATTAAACATTTTCAAATATTTTAAAAGGGTAAATATAATTATTAGCATTAATAGCTGTAACTATTGAAACTAGAAAACAGCCAATTAAATCTAAGGTTTCAAAGCATCAGCAGATCCATTTATCTTTCCCTGAAGAACTTGGCATGTACATTGTTGCAATGGGATAAATCCTGTGATTTTCTTAGGTCCTCATTCCTGGTTCTCTCACATACAAAACACTCACATTCTGTTTCATACATACAGGTGCACTTTCTTCCCTACAGACACACAGGTCTGCATATACCTTTACATATACATATTTATTGACATTCTGCACATTTGTAAGCCTGTATACCAATTTGCATGTGTACATTTAATACATACAGCTGTCATACAGACACACATTCTCAACCTACCTCCGTACAGGCATTCCCTTGCAACACCTTTTTTTTGCTATCAACTTTCAGAATGCACTCACCAAATAAAGCCTTCCAGAGCTGGTACCTGCTGTGTCCCCTTGCTTTCTGTTTTCATCCCATTCTTGCTGCTCGTAGACATCCCAAAAAAACTGTTTTCAAGTTCCTTGGATTCTGTTCTTCCCTCTCTCTCGCCGAAAGAAGAGAAACCAGCAAAAGGTCTTGTCCCCTCCCTCCAGTCTTCTCACATCCTTATGAGGGTGGTGTAAAAACACTAGTGACTAATAAATATGAGAAGGTAGCAAACTACGTGAAGATCGCCTTTATACCAGCCTGGCCTGGGAAATTAGAGTCTGAATTCTTCAAGCACTGAATCCAAAGCTTCATTTCTCCATGATTAGGTACTTTCTCATCTTTCTTTTCTCCTCTCAGTTCCTTCACTGGCAGGTATGCCTCAGAGAAGCAGGAAGTTAACTAAAGAGAACAAGTGGGTTGCAGGGGTGGGGAGTGTTGTGTGGGAGTGCTTGTGCCTGAGAGTGATCTGTTTGGCTCACCTCTCTCCAATAAGTGTCTCTCCAAAGAGAGGATTATGTTCTTTCTGCTTACAGAACATTCCTGAACCCTATTTCACAAAGCAGGAAGGATCTCAAGCCCAGTCCCAAATCAAATGACTCACCTATAAACTATTTATGAGCTCTATAAAAATCTAAACTATGTGTTTTTTCCCATTCAGATTGGTTACTGTCTTGGACTTTAAGAAAAAAAAGGAGGAAAGCAAACAATATTATTGCTCTCAGAATGCTAGTGTAAAGTTCCTGCTATTGAAGGATATATCTGGAGCAATCTGGATACATCTGAAAGTAATGATAAGCAAGAGTGAAAGCACTGAATGTTTACCCAAATTTAGTGAGTATTTGGACATAGGTTATGATAGTAAAAAATACTATAAGATCACAAGTACTGAGCAGTTTGCAAAAAAATGACCTCCAGGAGCTGCCGGTTACAAATGCCTGTACTATCAGAATGCTCTGTTGGTAACACTGATAATTAATAATAGTTTTCTCACTGGGTCTTCTTCAGCTGGATTTGGAAACTTTTTAGCTTCTAATGTAGATGGGGGCATACCACTCTTAAATATCTTTGTCTTTGTTCACTGTAGCCTACTTGTTCCCTGTTTTATTCTTTAGAACAATGGTGTTCAACATATTCAGCCCCGCAGGCCAGGTAAGTAATGCAGGGCCAGTTAGTCCATGGGTTGGATCCATGACAGGGTGGGTCTCCAGATACGTGATCCCATGTACCAGATCCAGCCATAGCACCAGCCTAACTCCACACACTAAGCCAGCTAGAGTATGACCCCATACACAACATGGGGCCATGTCATCCAGACTACAGGGTTCCCTATGGGTCTGTAAATTTGGCAGTGGGGAGACAGTGCCAACATGAATTGCCACAGCTCTGGAAGCAATGTTGCTACTGCTTCCCTGACACACAATTTCCAGAGCTGTGGGGAGCCCCAGTGGCCAAATGATATGGTTCCTTGAGCCAGTGGTTGAGCACCACTGCCTTAGGAGAATACCATTAACGTCAATGGATTTATGTTACTATAAATAGAGAACAATTAGGTCCAGGGTTTTCGGTACACTTGTTGCAAGGCCATTACCTACTGTAGAAAAATATCCTATTCATGATACCACTTTTAGTAGGGGGGCTGCTGCCTAGTCTTGAAAGCAGTGAAACTGCTTATAGCAAAGGTGCAGCAAAACTAGTTCTGTTGTTACATAAAGCATGATTCAGTTTTGACAGAATGTGGCACCTAGGGATTTGTTTATAAAGGAAAAGTAACCTGTCAAGGACACTGCAGGCAACTAGTGCAGTCTAGCTGCCAGTGAAGACAAGGGCGAGCTAAGCTAAGCATTGCTTCAGACACTATGATAGCAATTACTGTCTCCCCTGCTGTGCTTTCTGTAGAGAACTATTAATTAACTATTAATAGTTAAATAAGTCAGGAGGAGTAGACCAACATAAGCACTGCCAGTGCTTTGCACCCAACTAGCTGTATAGCTGTGGATTATGAACCTTGGCAATTTTGGCCCTGCCCCTGCACTAATGCTCTGCAGTAACACTGTTTACAGAATACCTTTCCCACACTCATCTCAGAAGCAGGAGATTTAGAAAAGTCTTCTGGGATGCTCAGCAAGTCCAGGAATATTGTGGAAGCAGAGGTCAGATTTCTGTAAATTCCTATAAACTCCCCAAACTCTTACAGCATTCAAGGTATATGTTCTGGGAGGTTCATGGGTGAAAATTTAGTAAAAGTACAATACATAATACCCTCATTTTCAGAAATGCTGGACTATTTGTGTAAGTGGAATTCTCCCCTCAGTGAATAATGGTGATATTAATGACGTTTCCCTTCCCACTGTGATCTTGGGTGGTCCTGCATACTTACTATCTCCATGGCTTGTGCATCCTCATTTGGAATGCTAAAGCCTATGAAGAAGACTCGTTTATATTCTGAGTGGGTACAGAGTTGTGATGGATTCTGTTTTTCAGAGATTGAAAATGAGATGGGGTGGAAGATGGTGATCATTGTTTGTGCAGAGTTCTGAAGAAAAAAAAGGGGGTGAATTATTAAACAGGTTACACAGAGAATTGAAGAAACACAAAAACTTAACATCAACTGAAACATAAGCGAGCCAACAGAGACTGAAAGGAAAATAAGAAAAAAACACAGACTTCTCTGTGAAAATTGACTTGAATTAAGGGTGCATTGTTGATAGAAGATATATAATTTATCTTTATGTATGTTATAGGGACTGGATGCATCCTTAATGTTAAATGTGTTATCTGATATATTGGACTCTTCTTCTTCCCTCACTTGTCCCATCTAAATGGGGTCACTGTTGTGAATCCTGGCTCTCCACCGGCTTTGGTCATTTGGTACATTGGATTAATTAGTCAATAAAGTTAAAAATAAGAAAAAATGAGATGGGGATGCATGTGGACATGCAGTGAGTGTTCAGTAACAAATGTCATATCTGCCATCTGCATAGTAAGTAAAGTACACAGGACTTTTTATGTTAAAAAATCGTTATATAATTTAACTCTTGCAGGTCAGCCGCAGACACCCCAAGAAGCCAAAGGATGACACCATTGGTTCTTGGAATTCAATTTGCTGGAGAAAGCATCCATCTTTACTTTCCTTTTACAGAAGGAGGCAATATGATTAATTATCAGCATTATTGAGAGCATGAGCCTGGGCTGGAAGAGTTGACGCAGAGTCCAATTTTGGGGTTAACACTGTTGATATGTATTTTAAAATAGACATTATATCACATCAGTGGAATTTTCTGTTCTCCTCACATCTCTCCCTCTTGATCATTACTCATTCTTAGTCCTCTTGCTGGTACTGATCATGTTTAGCCAGGAGAGATTCAGACTTTCACAAGACAAACCTCAGCACAAACTACTGATCCTTATGAAATTCTATGAAAAACTCCTCTGAAAGATTAAACCCATTGAATCAAAGAAGCAGCCCATCCGGTCCTGTCCAAAGATGATCCCATTTGGAATATGCATTATAGTAAACAAAAGGCAATGGCAGAGCTGTAACCAGAGCTATACGGCCCATACACCCCTTGAAACACCAGAGTATGTATAAATGTACAGGCAGTCCTCAACTTACAATGTTTCGAGTGACAACATTTTGCATACAACATTTATAAATTGACACCCTGTTTCAACTTTCTGATGTCAGTTTCGACTTTACAACACTTGATCTGACGCCAAGCCATGCCAGTGAACAAGTTCTCTGCGTCGCTCATCTCCCTGGAGAACATCTGTCCAAACATCCTTGGACACTTTCTTTAAGAAAGCAGACAAGACTCCAGAAAAACCTGGAGCCAAGACTCTTGAGAAGGCTCCAACCAAGAGCCCTTCAAAATGTCCAGCAAAGTCTCCCCAAAGAAGTCCTTCCAAATCAATGTGATCGCTATTTACAATATAAATACATGAATATAGCTATATTACTAATCTAAAATTAATTGAGTACAAAATTCTGCATTATTTTTGGTGAAAATAGGGTATTGGGCCTTGGTTCAGGAAACAATCCCACATTTATAATATTGTTTCCTATGGGAAAATCGGTTCCGAGTTACAACGTTTTGACTTAAGACTTGGTTTTCAGGAACCAGTTGTGTCGTAAGTCTGAGGACTGCCTGTAATTTGTTTTTCATGCTGTCCTAGATGATTGGGTAGAGGGAAAGATACCTTGCCCAGAATCTTAATAGGAATGTTGGTAGACATGTTCTATGAAAGACAACACGGCATAGTTATTGTGAATTAAGATAAAATAAAGCCTAGAATTAATATCTCTCTTCTACATTGCTGTTTTACTTTGCTACTCATTGCCTGTGTTCCTGCATTTCAATTTAATCATTAACTGTTATATATCTCAGTAATGGAATTACATGGATAGCTGATCTGAATTTGATTAGAACTGATTTTCATACATCCACTAGAAAGATGTAGTTGCAAATAAAGACACTGAGCATGTTTACATAGAAACTGCTGATAGGCATATAAATATTACAATAAAAAGCAATACAAATATTCTAACCATACTAGCTAACATGTAATTTCTTGCAATCATTGTTTACCTTTTTACATTTCTGTGTGATTTACGAAATACTTCCCCCTTTGTCTGCTCTATTGAATGTGTCCATGTGATATCTCTCAGCCAGTTAGCGTGCATAATAAGCTGGTTACATCATGACTGGAAACCATGGACTGCACTGTAAAATAAGGAAGTCCATGGGGGTGCTGAGACCTGGGGAACTGAGAAAGGACAGGCTTGGCATGCAGTTTGTGCAGGGGTGGCTATGGAAGGTAAAGGAATAGACAAGTACAGAATAGACATGAAACATCTAACTTCATGTGAAGTTACATGCATTTTTGCTTTTCATGCAGAGTAACAGCAGCATGATAGATTCTGGAAATTTCTGTCCCAGCCCCTGAACCTTCAAAATCATTCCCACTGGTATAGTTTACACTCTCTCTCTCTCTCTCTCTCTCTCTCTCTCTCTATGTATGTATGTATATAGTGAAGGATCCTTTCGTCTCCTGATTTCCCCCCTTCCTCCTTTTGACAAATTGGATTGACTGCCTTGTACATGGCCAAGCCTTCAGTCTTCTTGGATTCTCTCACACCACTCTCAAAAGTATACCATGAGTCTGGCAAAATACCAGGCATTTTCTAGTCTGGTTGTGTTGTCCCTGTCCTCCAAGCTGGTGTGGGGGGGATTCTTTACCCATCCCCTCAAGACCACATCTCAAGGCATTTTGGTCCTGGACAAAATCTCAGTTAGGTTCATCATAAAGGGGGCAGGCTTTATATACACAACAGAGTTGATTATTCTTGGTTTGGTATATTGTACTTTAAGGATTTACATTGTTCACAGTATAGCTTGCTGGCTCTGGTTATATCAAAACCAGTCAGGTGCTTAGCCTCATAATGAACTGAGGTTTATCTAACTTGGCTCTGGACCAGAGC